AAAAAAAAAAAAAAAAAAAAAAAAACTTCAGAGACCACTGAGTGTGTTGGCAGAGGGTTAAATTGTCATTGAAAGCGTGTGTGCGCGCGCGTGGTGTGTGTGTGTGTGTGTTTTAAAGAAATAAAGTGTAAGGCGTGCATCTGGTTACAAAATGCACATCCTGCCTGGACGTGTATAATAATCGGTGCTCTGCTGCTCGGCCCCTCACCACTTAAGAGGCTGGCGTTTTGTGTCCCTGCTGCTAGGCCTCGTGTTTCTGAGTCAGATGGGACACAATTGGTTCAGACAGTGGGGTGCTGGGGAGGCTGACGCCCCTTCCTTCCTGTGCACCCTTCCTTGATTGAGTGCGCATGTGCGGTAAAACCACAGCCCGCCTCCGCCCGGAGCTGATGCCCTGAGCAGGCCGGGTAGGGAGTGCGCCCCTAGCTGCACACCGGGGCGCAGCACATTTCCACCCGGACACTGGACACCGGAGCTCTGACCCCACGGGCAGCAGCTCCCGCGTCCCCTGCTCCATCCCCGGCCCCCACCGGTCTCCTTCCTGTCTCTGACCTGGGCTGCCTCAGGTTCCTTCTGGAAGTGGACTTGTGCGGTTTCTGTCCTTTTGTCGCTGCTGCCTCCTTCGTTGTACGTGAAATACTTAAATTTCCACGTCTTCTCTCAGTTACGCGCTCCTCCTTTCTCTTGCCCCACTGCCTTTTCCTTCCTGTAGTTCCAGTTATTTAGTCGGTAAGGTCAAGGAGGAAAACCGCAAACCTGCGGGTCTAACCCCACCCCGTAAAGCATCCCTGTCAGCCCCGTGTGACCAGGGTGTCACGCCTTCCGTGTCGCAGTGCACGGCCTGGGGGTGGCGTGTGGCCGGGATCCGCTCTGGGGATGGACGTGGCCCTGGGGCCTCCCGGGGACGCTGCTGCTGGTGTTTCCAGGGAGCACCATCATGTACGGGGCGCTGCTGCTGTTCGAGTCGGAGTTCGTGCACATCGTGGCCATCTCCTTCACGTCGCTGATCCTTACCGAGCTGCTCATGGTGGCGCTGACCATCCAGACGTGGCACTGGCTCATGACGGTGGCTGAGCTGCTCAGCCTGGCCTGCTACGTCGCCTCCCTGGTGTTCCTGCACGAGTTCATTGGTAAGACCCACGCGAGCCGGCCCGTCTGGGGGCACCAAGGTCTGGGGACTTTTTCTCGAGCCCTTTCACTCGTGGCTCTCCACGCCTTCCCGGCATCCCCTCAGTGCCAGGGGCAGTTGGGAAGTAGCATGTGGAATGTGACCTCAGGCTAGACTGTGTGCCTGCTTGCTTGATGGCGGTACTGGGAATTGAACCCAAGGCCTGCCTTTGCCTGAGCTACATCTCCAGCCCCCCTTTCTAAATATTTTATTTAGAGACAGGTTCTCACTAAGTCACTGACTCCCTCAAGATAGGTTCAAACTCAGGATTCTCCTGCCTCAGCCTCCCAGAGTGCTGGGATTACCAGCTTGTGTCACCCTGCCCACAATTACTCAGTAGTACTAGAAGAAGCAACCAGAGCCTCACACGTTCTGAGCCAGTCCTCCACCACTGGGCTACACCCCGAGCTTGAGAGTGTTCTCAAATTGCATGGAGACAGGTGGTGTCAAAGGAGACTCATTTAATTGAGGAAGCACAGTCAACCTGCAGCTCTTTAGGCCCACTTTATTTTCACTTTTTCACAGAAGCGGTTAAGTTTCTGTGTTATTAAGCGAAGAGAAACTCCCTCGGGTGCTTTTCTCCTTTACCAGAAGAGCTGAGCCCCGAGGCTACTTCCCTGCTGGACGCTCCAGCACCCCTGAGGAAGGCCTGGCAAGGTGGGGTGGCGAGGTGGCCAGACCCCAGGAATTCTCCACAGGTGCTGTGGCCCCACCTCACCTGGCCAGGGAGTGGACAGGTGTTAGTGTCCTGTGTAAGGTGCAGTGTCATAGATACCCAGGAACCCCTGGCATTCACATTTCAGGAGAAGGTACACTTGGGGAAACAGTGTACAGAGGCCCCGGGGGAGCAGTAATAAGACAGAAACCCGCTGTACCGTGGGAGCGTCTGTGATCGGGGCTCTTTCTCTGCTTTCCGGAGCTCCTATGAATGGTTATTAATAAAGATGAAAGCGTGGTCAGGAAGCCTGAGGTTACAAGCGTCGTGCTTGTCCAGGCTTCCAGAAGGGGTTCTGTGAGCACCCACTGTGTGCACACGGGACGGAGCCCTCAGGGCGTTTGTGTGGCCTTCGGAGCAGCCACAGCACCTGGTGAGCTGAGCGCTTAGTAGGTGCTTCCTCGGTGCCACCTGCGTTTCCACACCCTGAGCTCAGGACACGGTGGAGATTTTCCTCTGGCGGCAGCGGTGTTGAAAAGCGCAGCTGTCTCCCCTCTCAGAAACTTTAGCACCCCTGGGTCTACCCCTCTTTAGCCCTGAAGGGAGCACCCTGACCTCAGAGCCCCAGGGGAAGCCTGGTTTGCACAGGGGGCTCTGCCCACTTCACCCTGTGCCACAGAGCTGTGTGGTGGCTGCTTATGCCAGTCACTGACAGGCGAAGGCTGCTGGGCGGCGGAACCCTATGTCTGAATGTCACGTTGTGCTCAGCAGTGGCCAGATTTAGAAGAAACTCCAAATTGTAAGCGTCCAAACCAGAAACACCTGTAGTTTTATTTTCTTACTGTAGTTGTTGAAAAATCTCATTGTAGCGAGCAGGAAGCTACTGTGTCAGGTCAGAGATGAGGGAAAGTGAAGAGAATCGAGCTGACAGGCTGTGTGCTGCTGGCCCCCTTGTCCCCTTCAAGAGCGAGGGGGCGTGACCCTCATGCCAGGGGCCGTGAGTTGGCGAGGGACACCGCTTTCCCTTGTCCAGCCACCGCAACTGCAGCGTGGTCGTGTTACGCCTTCCGGAACATTCCGCGCGCTCACTGCTGTCTTCTCCTGGCTTGCAGATGTGTACTTCATCGCCACCCTGTCGTTCCTCTGGAAAGTCTCTGTCATCACTCTGGTCAGCTGTCTCCCCCTGTACGTCCTCAAGTACCTGCGAAGACGATTCTCTCCCCCCAGCTACTCGAAGCTCACGTCGTAGGCTGTGTGCTGGGCCGTGGGGACCCCGGGCCCCTCACTTTCTCGGTGGACAGAGTTCACATTCTGTTTGTATTAACCGCCCCCTGTGGATTGTGCAGTAATTGCTAACACGTGCCGTTCTGATGTGGCAAGCGGTGCCCCCGGGCGGACCTCACAGGGAAGACGTGGGGTGGGGGTGGCTCTGAGAGGGGCCACACGCACCTGTCAGACCCCAGTCGTCACGTGGGAGTGACCGTGACGTCAGATCAGGCGGCTCGCCTGCCAGCTGTGTGGGTCGCTGTGCAAGCTTCCTTATGACTTGAATTTTGTTGTCATGTGATAAAACTTTCTGTCTAGTTGAAGGTTATAGAAAGCTTTTTTTTTTTAAAGCAGTCCTATCATGTGTGTCCTCTTTAAAAGTCTCTTGCTCCTAAAAAGTGGTTTCAGAAAAACATAGTTCTCAGTGTAGGTTTGGGAGGCCGGGACAGTGACATTTGTTAAAAAGTCATCCAAACAGCGATTCCATCCGGAGATGCTGGGCATCCTCTCTAAGCCCTGCTTTGAGAAGGGGCCCTGGATTTCTGGGCTCACACAGCATGGCCATGCGAGGAGAGGGTGGGAGAGTCAGCTTCACCTGCAGCCTCGTAAAGGAATCCCAGAGGTGGCGCTGCTGCTTCGTGGGGAGCTGGTGACAGTTACAAAGTGGTATCTATCTGAGGACACCCTCTGGCACTTTCGGTGGGTTGTTTTAGCAGGAAACCTGCCACCGAGCAGCCCCTACATGTGTCAGCAGTGTGATAAGAGATCCAGCTAAGTCTTCAGACAACCTGGCAGATGTGACTCAGACCCTCTGAGGCCAGAGCGGAAAGGTCAGGGCACCAGGGCTCTGCTCTTCCCCGGCAGCCTGTTTCCTGTTAGGAGGAGTTACTGAGGACGAGCTGGCAAAAGCAGTGATATCTTGCTCTTCCTCAGTGGCAGCCTTCAAAGCCAGGAGCCCCCCGGGGAGGAGGCCCGGCTGCAGCTCGGGACTGGGGATCAGCTCGCCTGGCAGGATTTCCAGGGAACGTGCTGAAAGGCAGCCAGGGAAAGGCTGCTTCTTTCTCCCTGCCAGCGCAGGCTGCACGCACGTGTGTTTCTTATAAAGCGTGGCTGCCGCTTGCAGAGGGAGATGGGGGCTTGGGAGCGTTAGACGTGGCAGGGCATTCTTGGGCATGCAAGTCACTTCTTGTGCAAGGCACATGTGGGTGCCATAAGGGTTAAGTCGGCGCGGCCTGCAGACTTGAGCGCGGTGCTGTCCTGGGTTTGTGATTAGCTCTGTTTGAGCTCACACCCTTCAGACCCGTGGTGCGGCTATCTGTGTGTGCCTTGCCTGGTTGCCGAGTGGGTTTGTTTAGCTCTGTTTGAGCTCACACCCTTCAGACCCGTGGTGCGGCTATCTGTGTGTGCCTTGCCTGGTTGCCGCCCACTTCCTACCTACCCTAGGGAAACCTGCTCTCAGACTCTCCAACAGCCATTTGGTGTGAGGTCAGGCACGGTGACCGCTGCCTGGACACTGTCCTTGAAGGAGAAATCAGCACCTGGGCCCTTGCTCCGTCCGAGCAAGAGCGTCTGTTAGTTTTTAATGTTATTTTTTGATGATGGTTGTAGGGTGAGAGTCCGCCCCTTCTTCTGGTTCTGGATTTCTCTAAGAGACTGACGCTCAAGCCTATCCATCTGTTGGACAGTGCTGCTGTCGTACTGAGGCGGGACAGGGACACTGGCTTGAGCTGCTTGCAGGGACTTTGTTCTCTGCTGAAAATCTAGGTTTTACTGATAATATTTTTTAAATGTATTTTGAATTTTGTGCCCATTGGAGATTGATAGTCAAATGCCTATGTTTTTCTCCAGACTTTTGTTTTTATACTTTGTCTTGTTTTTACTGGGGTGGGGCTGGGCATGCACAAAAACCCCTCTATGGGCAGCAGGCAGCATTTTCAACTTTTGTCAGCACTTCAAATGGGATCTTATGCTCCATCCTATTTAAAGCAAATGCCTATCAGATATTTCTCTTTAACCTTTGTGTGTTTGTGAAGTGTGTATGTGTGTTTATGATGTCATCTGAAGTTTTGGGAAGAAATACTTGGTTTCTTAATGCGTTAGAATTCCTCCCAGCTCTGTTTTTATTTTTAAAATACACAAAGAGCTTTGCAAGTACATTTTATTTCTCTCCCTTTCTTTTAAAATAAGGGAGCTTTTTGGCTTTCTATACTTGAAATATTTTCATTATGTCCATTTCTTGGGGGAAAAAAAAAAGATGACTTGCTCTGGGATGGAACCGAGAAGATATCACTGTGGGGATGCGCTCCTTGGGCTGGAGCCGGTCCTGCGGCCACGCAGCACCACCAGCCCGTCCGGCTCCTCCGTCCCCTCCGGCACAGCACGGTTTGAGCAGCCCATGCCCGGGGCTGGGCGGTGCCAGTGAGCCCTGTGTGTGGGCTGGGGTGCAGAATGGTGGCTCGCAGGCGATTCTGGGGCAGCAGGGTCCCCTGTGAGCTCACGGTCCCCTCATCGGTGGTAGAGCTCTCCGTGCACCTCTCAGGGCAGGCATTTGCGAGGGCAGCGTGTTTTGGTTAGAGGAACGTTCGGATGCAGGGTGCTTTAATTTAGCAAGAACGTCCAGATGATTGGAATTCTCAGCTCTGTGATGACACACATGTGATCTTCCGTGTTCTGAGCAATTTCACTTTCATTCTCTGCCAGCGTGGCCCGTTGCCCAATAATGCTTGTGTATTTTCTGCCTGTGGGGATCCTTTTAATTTGTACAGGAACATGAATTCTGGTGATGAAACGAGGACTTTTTATTATAATGCTATAATGTGCTTATCTTGTGGTACACAAAATGTAAAGAACTTGTTTCCAGTTTTAAAACTTATTTTGATTTCAGAAACAAAAGCCGAACGCATGTTCTTTATTACTCTGTATACTGTTGTTCATTCCAAACATGTCAAACATTCAAAAAGTGATTGATATAAATGGAAAAAAAGGTGAAAACGTAAGGTTCATATTGTATTTGTACACACAATGCTTGTTGGCTTTGAAATCTTTTATTTTTTTTGTAATCAAGGGATGAAAGATCTAGGATTGCATTCCCTTCATTTTTAGGCGAAAGAGGTTTTCCCGTTGAGGTGCCAGGAAGTAGAAACAAGGTTGTTAATGCAGACACTACAGTCAGGGTGGTTGTACCCTGTAGCAGCAGGGACGCATGTGAAGACATTTTCATTGTTACCGCAGAAAGGGGCTGCTGTGGGGCGACCCACACCCCACACACAGCCCCCGCGTCCATCTGACCCCGGGGGTGCAGAACGCTGAAGTTAAGCTCTCGCTTACCGGGTGTGTTCGCAGTTATACTGCATTTACGGAGCGGCCCAGCGGTCTGACTGCTGACGTCAGGAAGGGGAAATCCAGTGGCAAATGGTGTCAGCACCGTGGTCCCCTGATCTCCCTCCATGAAAAGGCGGGTTCCCCTCCGTTTATCGATTGGAAGGAATTCTGAATGCTTCGTAGGGGTGCTCGTAAAGGTGGAGGCGCATGGTACCTTCCCTCCTTGCACGTGCCTGGTCGGCGAGGCCCCAGGACCCCGAATGCCGCAGGGAAATTCCGGCTCTGCGCGGGGGCGACCCTGGCCGCCAGGGGGCACCCGAGGATTGGAAGATGCCCGGGTTCCTGTTCGCTGCAGTCGCCTCGGGTTGCCCAGCTGCCCTGAATTTCCAGACGCTGCTTTCATGGCCTCAGAATTTATTTCATGGCCAGTGCCCCCGTTCAAACAGACATTTCTTTTTATGTTGTTGACCAGAATATTTTGCTGGACTGGGGGGGGGGTAAAAGAGCTGGGGGGGGAAGGGTAGGGACGCTGAATATTCATTTGATTTTAGATAGTTGCATTTTTAAATAATTGGCAGCTGCGAAGCCTTGCCCAGCTCCCTTTTCGGACTAATAACGTTTAGAGACTCAATGTTCCAACAACCCAAGTACTTTAACTGTTTTTGTTATGAAACGTTTCAGAGTGACATGAAATCCTGCGGTATTTGTGAGGAGGTCTATAAATGATGGATTTGCTCACCTCAAAATAGAACTGTACCCGCTCCAAACTTTCCAGAAGTCAGAATACAGTAACAGAATTCATTCAGGACTTGCTAATTTCCGACTTGAAATGGGTTACATAACAGAGTGGCCCGCCTTCACGCCTCTCAAAACTACCCACGAAGCGATGGTGAAATCTATCATTAAAAGCTAGAAATAGCTCTGCTAAACTCTGGGAAAAAGATGAGTTTTTTTTTCTGACCCCCCCCCTTTCACCCAAACATTGCATAATGTTAAAAAAAAGTCAGATCTTTCCGTGGGATTTAATTTCATTCTCCATGTGGCTGTGGTCGGAGGGGTAACTTAGCGCTTCGGGGCCCGGCGGATTTTTGGAGAATCACGCATTCCCAGATCGGTTTTCGTCCAAAGCCTTGGAGAATCCGCCCAGTCCTGGGCTTCTCCTTTCCCCCCGCCGTTCTGTGGGCGACTCCTCTCCACCCTAGCATCGTCTGCTTGCAGCAGAGATGCCCAGAAAAGCCCCCCAGTCCGAGGACCAGCCTGCATTTTTGACTCGGACGTGGGTTTCTCTATCTCTTGGGGTAACTGAGTCACACATGGTCACTGCCCTGTGACCCAGCCCTGTGACCAGCCGGGCCCTATTTATTAGATTTAGCCTGCTGGTTCTGTTTGCTCCCAATGGGAACTGGGTGTTGCCTCCGTTGTCCATTTGCTAGAGATTTAAGAGAAATCCACTTTCTCCTTTATCGGGTCAGTTAAACCCAGGGATGTTTTTCCTTAGGGAAGAAATGCAGTCTGGGAGGTAAAGAGGAGGGAGGTGGGACCATGGGAAGTGCTGACAGTTCATTTTCCCCCCAAGCATTTACTTCTACTGAGCACCTTCTGCTTGCTAGGCGCTGTTTTGTGGGCTAGTGGTGTGGCAAAGAACAAGAGACATAGTTCCTGCCCTCAGAGTGGTTGCCTTTTTCTTTCTTTCTTTCTTTTTTTTGTACTAGGGATCGAACTCGGGCCCTTGCGCTTATGAGGCAGGCAGTGGCGCCACTGAGCTAAATCCCCGGCCCGTGGTTACATTTCTCTGTGTGACCGGAAGACAGTGAGCAGGTACAGACTGATGTAAGGTGGAGAAGGGCTCCTGTGTAACATGGCGGGGTTGGGCGGAGGATGACCGTCTGTTCAGATACAGGTGGGAAGACTGGGCCACTCAACTAGAGGCCTGCAGGGTGAGGTACAAAGAAGCATTCAGGCAGTGATATGTGCAAAGGCCCTGGGGTAGGAAGGGCTGGGTGTGTTGGAGGGGCATGTGGCTGAGGTTCAGAGACTAGGGAGGAGCTTGGAGATGAGGTCAGGGATAGGTAGGGCCCCTCGGCATTTGGACCCCAGAGAGTAGCAAAACTGAGCAATTGTTATTAAAGTTAGCCATCTGCACTTGAACTGTGTCCAGGGGTCCCATGTCACGACTCCCTTCTCCCTGTCGTCAGAGGCCCATCCCTGCCTGTCCTCGTGTCCACATCAGAGTCCAGGGAATCTTGGGTGCAGTTCCTTCCTCAGGAACCTGCCCCTCCTGTGCCCAGATTTTCTGTACGATTTTGCTGGCACAGACTTTGCTGACTGTTAAAAGGGAGAAGCAGCCAGGCTTTGGATGACGTTTCTTCTTGCTTTTCCAACAAATAACACAACGTTGTCTGTATTCAGCCCTGAAGCCTGGGTGCCCCGGGCAGCGGCGACCTCTCATTCCAGAGTCCCGGGAAGCAGGTTCTGGAGGAAGAAAAGGTAGAGGAGAGTGAGCGGGTTGGGTCGTCCGGAGCCGCAGCTTTCCCAGAGATGCCCGCTAGGGTCAAGTTTTGAAGATGAAGCCTTTTGCAGGCAGGAACTTGGGGAGTCCAAGCTGCATTCAGTTTTCCTCCCACAGAAAGAACGAATAACGAGAACAGGCTGCAGAAAAGAATGCAGTTAGTGTCTTAAAGATGGGCACATACTCGTTCTCATTTGTCCTTTTATGTGAAACAGATTTTTAAAAAGGCAATTGGGATCGCTAATAACATCCAGAATGCTGTTGATTCAAGTGGGGCTGGAGGTAGGGGATTTAAATTGGCCCAAACAGCTAATCAGGCCCAAAGAAAGAGGTGAGTTGATTACCCTGGAAATTGCACAGGCATTCTTCAAAGATGTGGCCAATAATGAGAGTTTAAGATGCTACTCTTTATGCACATAACTTAGCATAATTTTATTAGGCAGCTCATCACCACCAGAATTAGAGAAAATCAGGCCAGAGAACCTCCCAGAGCCAGGCTGGCG